CAACTTTGTATCTGTACTGATATCTGGGTTTTCTTCTGACAATGCTAGAATATTTTGCCAATCCAACCTAATGTGTCAGCCATTCGCATCCAAACAAAGGCTGTCTACCATGTTTAACAACGTACAGACGCCCATAGTGCTCTTTACCTTGATAATTAATGTTTACGTTTAATACTCCATCTGGTGTTACTTCTTCCCCGTTTAAGTTCTTAGTCTTATCTGGGATTCTTGTATTTTCAAATGCTAAAACATGCGATGATAATCTACTGTTGAGATGACAGATACCGCTGATCCGGTATCTACTTCCATGCGTAATGGGATATCATTAATACGTGGAGTTGCCCATATAGCGCTGACTTTACCTGGCCATCGTCCTTCAGTTCCCAACATTCCAACATATGGAATTTCAATAATGTTAGTACTAGAAAATAACAACGTATTAATACTTTAAAAATCTTACGTAATAAGTATGTAATTCTTAAACCTGATAAAGGAAATGGTGTTGCGATAATGAAGAAAACTGATTACATCACATCTATGACGAACTTGTTTTCTGATTCAGCTAGTTTAAGAAACTATCTAACTGTTCATTAACCACGCAGCTTAACTCCTTACAAACCTACCTCCGGACACTATTTAATAGAAATGAACTAACTGAAACTGAATACAAAGAAATTCGTCCAGTATCAACCATGCCTGCTGGAGCTCATGGACTACCTAAATTACATAAAGATTTTGATAATATTCCACCCCTAAGACCTATTATTGACACGACCGGTACTTGTTATTATTCAGTAGCTAAGTTCTTATCAAACTTATTAGGCCCTCTAACGGTTAATGATTTTGTTCTTAAAGATTCTTTTGATGCTGCTGACCGCATTAAAGCTATACCAAACAATTTATATAATTTAGGTTACCGATTTGTATCTTTTGATGTTGAATCTCTGTTTACAAATGTTCCCCTTACTAAGGTAGTTAATATAATTCTTGATAGGGTTTACAATAAGACTCTGATATCTACTAACCTTAAGAAAAATTCGCTAAGGAAACTACTTAGAGAATGCTGTACTAAAACTGTATTTACGTGTAATAACAAATTTTATAAACAAACTGATGGTGTCTCAATGGGTTCGCCTCTTGGCCCAGTTTTAGCTAATATTTTAATGACTGAACTAGAAGAGTCTATTGTTCCTAAACTTATTGAATCAGGTACTATTAAGTTTTATACTCGTTTTGTTGACGACACGCTAGTATTAGGTAAGCCCAATGATTTCCCGCAAATTCTAAGCTACTTCAATGCTTTTCGTAGACAGATAAATTTTACTTTTGAATCATTTGAAAACAGTGACACAGTACACTTTCTGGATTTACAATTTAACAACAGTGTAGAAAGCATGAGCATATATCGTAAAAATACACATACAGGTCAATATGTCCATTATGATAGCTTTGCTCCATGGAACCATAAGATCTCCTGGATTCGTAGTTTAGTTTCTAGAGCCCACAGATTGTGTACTCCTGATAAACTTCAAACAGAGCTTAGTAACATCAGGAAGTTTATGTCTTGGAATGGGTACCCTTTAAAAGTTGTACTTAATAAATTAAATGAACCTAAATGTATACATAGGCCTACTGATGATAGCTTGATTAAGATTTGGGTTAGATTGCCTTATCTAGGAAAACCAGGTGAGTCCATTTTACGTAGATGTTTAAATAAGGTAAAGAAACACTTAATTAAAGAGGTAAAATTCATAACTTTATGGCAGTATATAAATGTTTCTCATTTTATATCTACTAAGGATCAAACCCCTAAGTAGTACAGAAGTTCTGTTTATTATTTTAAATGTCCAGGCTGCAATAGTGATTATATTGGTAAGACAGATAGGTGCTTAATAACTAGACTTAAAGAACATTCTTCACGATCTGATAGTGTTATATTTGATCATGTTAAAAACTGTGAGGCATTCCAATTTGTTTTAGGATTGCAGGGTATACTTGAAAATGATAATGTCGTCTGTAATGTAAGTAATGAATTAGGTTTAATATTTTCTAGTACTAGCATTATTGACAGCTCCCGAAACTGGTCTCTCCTATTGTTTAAAGAAGCGTTCGCTATAAGTAGACTACACCCTTTGCTTAACAATGGGTTTAGAGCTTCAAAAGAGCTTTCTTTGTTTTTGTAGGTATCTTTGATCATTAGAGTAAGAATGCTTTGATCTTTTGTTTAAATCACTGCTATGTCACCTACTAGAGGTAATGTTTTGATTGGTTAAACACTTTTGGTACTAGTGCATATAAGCTTGCTAATATGGATAATTTTCCATTCCTGATGATGACATAATTAATGTTGAAATATTGAATCCCAAAACGATGGCGTGCATTTCAATACTCGGAGTATGTATTATACTTTCTAAACTTGTAATTAGTTTGAGCATGGAGCAATTTTTTTCTTATGCATGCACAAATCAAAATTTGCCCTAAAAAACAGCTAAAAAAATAGTGGTGGGGGTATATGTTTTATCGTGTATGGCTTACATTTTTTATCTAACCAAAAAAACAAACATTTCTTGCATGTTCACCAATAACTATAGGGTATACCCGCTGTGAAGCACCGTTTAGGAGCCTATTTGTTTACAAACATACCAACATGTTGTGGCCATACATCTCACTCACATATTTCACATCTGTATCATCTCAATAGTTCCATTGTGACCTAAGGTCACAAAGGAACTAATAAAATTGATGCTTTTATATTGTTGACATGCATTTTCGGTCTTGTGTACTCTTTTCTAATCACAACACATTTTTGTCATCACAATAACCTTTCCTGAGGGCAGCGACGGTGGCTCAGAAACTCCGCTCGCCAATTGGTTTATGTATTTTTTTCGGGAGTGCGGTGGTGGCGTGCAAGCGCGTGCTTTGATTTGGTTAACATCAGATCCCTCAAAGTTTCATAGTGCGTGACAAAGGAACAAGCTCAGTGTAAGACGATGAAGATTTCATTAAACAGATTTATTTAAACAAATAAAGAAACCCTAATGGTTTTATTTTAGAGATAAATATAAATCTAACAAATTTAAATTTCATTCTCCGCAAATTTCATCCGTAATCAGAGGTGGCAGAAGCATTTATTGGTTGGTACGGCGCGAGTCTCCAATAACCTCTGCCCCACCATGGTTGGAAGCTGAGGTCAGACAATTTTGTAAAATTTACACGTCTAGATACTCGGAAATAGCACTCAAGTTCTTAATTTCGTTAAATTTCTATTTATCACTTTGCTAAGGGCAGAGACCGCGCCTCCAAAACCCTGCCCTCCAATTGGTTAATTTTTTTCGGAGTGTGTTGGTGGCGTGAAACATGCTTTGAGTTTTTTCCTGGTGTAAGTTTTACGGTAACTTTAATTTTGTTTAACACTCTGGTGTGTCATCTTAATTTATAATAGAGTACTACAATGTTATGTCACGATACCACGTGTTACTACTCTGTTGCTATCGGCAACACAAAATGCGTTCAACCGATGCCATTTTCTCTATTCACAAACCATTGATCCCAATTTCTAACGTAATTATTAAGAATTTGTATCTTAATTTTTCTTTGTAAGTGTTATAATTAATGATTAAATGCGTGTTCGATAACTAATATAATGCAAGCTTTTTGTGTTTTTAGTACATTCTGATGGTAAAATATTAGACTTAAGATGCTTATTTCAGAAAGCCTATGCAGGCATTCATGCGTAATGAACGGTAACCAATGTCTGGTTGGCAACAGAGGGCACTACCTGGCGTTGTGACGACACGACTTTGGTACTCTATAATCTCCATGGCATGGCATGACAGTTCGTTTTCATGGCATCTGGTAGGCCTATGCTTGTTGTTTTGTTAACTGATTAGTTTAAGACGTTGATTTTTGTGTTTGGACTGAATAATACATTCGGAATTAGGAGAGATTCAGATTTTCGAAATATAGGTATTATTTTATGTAGTATAAAAACAATGTTTTAAATAACGAAATTGCCGAAGAAACATCGTTTTAGCGTTTGAGCGTAGTGTAATCATAGATTTATCTTGTCTAGTTTTCCAAGCATTTATTAAATAAATTTTACAGTAAGTATCAAAAATCTCTCCTACTTTATAGAACAAAATTCGAAACCAAAAATATTGTCAACAAATAGGTGGTATTTATATGTTTCCTTTCCCCTTTTGGATATTGGAAGAGCCCTTTGTTTCCTCTGTGGTATATTAAATCAGCAGTGACTTAGATTTTAGAGTTTGCTTTGCCATCTGTAGGCCTATGTGAGTGTATTATGTGATATCTTTGTTACTATTCACCAGTTTTATATCAAAGCTCAATATACCTGGGATGGGGCTATGCTTAAAAAAGTTATATCAGATATATCTACTGAATGAGGTAGATTACAACCTGTTTGATTTTGATTTTAATCTGTCACTATGCAGCCTCTTTCAATTTTATAGATACATAGGATCTCTCTAGTAATGCTATATACAGGATTGTAATATACATAGGTTTCTCTATGTTTTATACAAGTGGCTTATACAAGATTCTATTTAGTAATATTAAATTGGTTCCTCTATGTAATGCATTATGATTGCAGGCTTTCCCATAATTTTAAATGTTTAATGCAACCACTTAGAATTTGAGAGCCTTTTCTAAAGAGCTACATTAAGAAATTACAGACAAACAACACAATGAATATAATGTACTGTCAATAAAGCCTCAAATATTGCCTATATGTAGTACAAAAATGACATATGGGTTTGTTCTAGAAACTGTAAATATGTTAACTTTTGTTATCAAAATGATGAGATAAATACTGGCACATTTGACTAATGCAAAGAGAGTGGCTTCTCATCAACTGAGCACAGATGTGATTATGTTAGAAGATCAGTATCACAGGACATTAAGTGATCTTGACAGTTCCTCACTTCAACAACAACCATTACACAGGTCGAATGTACACAACACACAACTAGCGATCCTACCTTAAAGTGACACCTATTGGAGGTGCACCCAGCGTCTCGGCAGCAGCTGCTGCAGTTGCAATGGCCTTGGAATCCAGGGTCTGTCCCATAGGAAGGGTTCCAGATAAAGTAGCATTCAGCTTGCTCTCACTACTAGTAGGGTACTTAACAAATTTCAACTTGTCACTAGCAACTATGAAACATTAATGACAATTTTAAACAGGATCAGTTACCATAATCAAGGATTATGAAGCAAACATGGAATTTAAGAAAAATATCTTAAAACAAATATCACTTAAATATA